CTATGCGAACTAGACAGCCTCCCAAGATGCTAGGTGAGAGAGCGTTTACCAGTGTAGTCGATTTAACAGATGAAAATCAGGACGGCTCAACATTTGGTTCACCTATTACTCCCCCAGCTTACACAATGATAGAAGCAACTACCGTCGAAATGAAAAGCCATCAAGTTGACTTTGTGGACTTAAGACCTTAACATCACCCTCATCTTCGCGTCCCACTATAGTTCATTTGCGGTAAGAGAGCTCTGTGTACCCAAGTGATTCGAAGCCCTCGGTAGCAGCTGACCAACATACTCCTCGCAAGAAGGTCAAATTTAGTCCTGAGGTCTGTACCACTCAATTCAACCCATCGGGCCTACCCTCCGAAACCTCTTATTCAACATCTGCTTCCATTGTACTTGACCCGGACTGGCTGAACACTTCCTTTATCATTTCGGCGATAGAACTCTTAGGACGGCCAATGACGCTGGAGGAGTTAAGGAGAATCAACAAAGCTGCAAATCGGGAAGCGAATTAGAAGTAGGAAGATCAGTCTAGATGCTATTAAAAACTTTCAGAAACTTTCAGAAACTCTATTAAAACAAACTTTTAGTACCCTAGTATTCTGTCTATTGTTGAATGCTACGTAACATTATGACGCCTTTAGAGTTATATAAACTCTCAGTGCTGGCATAAAACGCCAGAAATTTTAGATTATTTCTGGCAACACTAAAAATTTTAAATTGAGCCCCATAACCTCGCTTTCGATGAGGTTAAATTCTCTATCACCCATTGGGTGCTACCACTGGATAATTATTAGACCTATCCATTATAGTACTACCCTTTCCTAAATTGGGCCTGTCTGTGGGGATATTACCCTGCCTACCCTTCTGCCTCACCTACCCCAGCGCTATTTCAGTTTCAGTTCTTTGCTCAGCTAAAGTAATTGAATTACATTTAATTTCGCCTGACGAAACATGCTATTTGATCCAAGGTGCTTTGTTTTTTTTTTCTTTTAAGTTGTTAGTTAAAGAAAACTTCTTCCAGTCCATCGGGCCCGTTTGTGCGGTCTCCTCCGACCCGTACACCCGTTCCTTCGACCTGCTAACCGTGCTTTAAATTTTTGGTCATTAGGAAACATGCTTTCATGGTCCTCGGTGCTTTGTTGAGATTACTGTCTTCTTTTAAATTGGACTCACTTTTGGGGTCTTGGCCAACGAGCCCACTTGTTCATTCAACCCAGCGCCCAAATACTTCTTTTGCGAGGCGAAAGTAATAGGTTTTAAATAAATTTTCGCGGGGAATGTGAAATGTTTTAATAATGTTTGATCGTTTAACCTCTGAGCTTTACTGATCGTTGACTTTTACGTTATGAATTTATATACACCTGCCGAAAGCGCAACGGCTTTTGGTAGACTTGGAATTTGTTCTTTATCTTTTGTGATATGCAACAAATCAACAGAAATCTAATTCAATCTTTTTAACTTCTTTTACTTTAGTTAGCAATCATCGTCTTTTATTTAGTCTTAAATAAAAGCCTACATTTTACTGTAGGAATCTTACCCAACCTTAGTCTTAATCTAGTCTTAGTTTAAGTTACCCACTCTTAATCAACCACGAGTGTTATCCTATTTTTTTTAACAACTAGTACAATATAAGCAATCACCTGTATGTCAAGGTTGAAATCCTACTAATAAACGAGACACTTATTATACCACAGCAACTCAAGCAAACAATCCTCGACAGCCTGAAATTCACGCACCCTGCAGCAGTCGCAATGCTTGACTTGTGTAAGAACATATGGTTTCCACCCATACACAGAACCATAGTCCTAATGGCACACAGCTGCCGTTATTGCACTGAACAAGGTAAAAAACTTGAAACAAGCACTAAGTAAATGAAAATCGTTTCTAATAGAATAGCAGTCGAGCCAAAAAAGGAGGTTCAATCAGGTTTCGCGGGACCCCTACCGGATGAATTAAAAAAGACGCTTACATTTTAGTCGCCGGTCCCAACGGCAATATTTTATTACAGATAAAACCTCGGATGTTGCCATAAAATTCATGCAAAGATGTATAACGAAAGACGGTGTCCCATGAAAGTTAGGGTGTGACCTAGCGCAAACGTTCTTCCGCAAACAATTAACATAAACTTCGTATTTGCCCCGGTAGACGATCATAGATCCACTGAGGTAGTTGAACGGATGTTACAAGTGCTGAAACGTGGGTTGGGAGTATTGCGTGCAAATAGATAGCACCCCCCATTTAAACCCACGTCTGATGTCGCAGAAATCATAAACACAAGTAGAAAAACTCTGCACGGAGTCACAAAACCCCCCCCCTTCCAAGCCCATATGGAACAAAAACCAAACACTCCCTTATTAAAAGTAGCGATTAATAGTTCACAAAATTTTCTAAACTGGGAAAACGCAAAACAAGCTTGTGTAGATCGAAAAATTTGATAATGCAACCCTCACTCCCCGCAGAGATAATGCACAATTTAAACAGCTAGATGAAGATAAAAAGAAGGCCTAGATTCTAGGTTCAAAGAAACACAAACCCAAGTCAACATAAACACTAAGAAACACATACACTCGTAGCCAAATATTGGTTAAACTCGCCACAACAGTAAAAGAATAAAAAACATTCGAACAAAAATACAAAACAAAAGACAGAAAAATACAAACATACACGCCGCACACGCCTTGTGTACAAACACGAGGCAAACAAACTAGATTGTTCAGAAGCAGTGGATCGCTTTTGCCCCAAATCCCAAAACCTAGACACTCACGATTAAGTGACCTACATACAAGTCTACAAGACGTACGTGTCCATGTTTACGATTTTTACATAGAAAAACCGAATGCGCTCCAACATCCAATGTCACGGAAAATTAGAATATGGGGCTGCCCAGAAAACTGTCCCGAAAGGAACGGCAAACCCTTGGAGACTCCGAGTCAGAATTGAAATGAAAAGCGCAAAGCGAAACCAACTTCAAGTCAAGCAAGGGGCATGACCTTCAAACTATCAGAATAAAAGGAAAGCAAAGGACCCGGCTCCTTCATAGAGTGAGGACTGGTCATTGACCACGTTCGAGAACACGCAACCTCCTCCAAACGCATCAACGTCAAGAAGATAAAGCAACTGCCACAGTACCAAAGAGAGCCAACGCGAAGATCAACACGGGCGAGACAAACAACACAGACAAAGGCATTGGAAACCCCAACCCAATAGTAAACATTGAATCACAGAAGAAATTCACAATAACATCCCCCGAAAAGCCACCTCAACTTCGGCCTGCTCAAAAAAGATGTAGCCAACCTAACAGCGTTAAGAGCTTCACTCATCAGATGAGTTTCCAAGAGAAATCACCTGAATTCATTACATGTATTAAATTCATAGAAACCATCGAAACTATCAGTCAACGTGAAAAAAATTAACGTGTTGGACCTTATATCTTTGACCGAAAGCCCGTAAAAACAGAAGAAAGACCAACCAAGTACAGGACATAGCAAACGAAATCGAGGCATACACTGATAGTGATGTGAAAGGCCAGGAGGAAGCGGCGGCTCAAGACCATTTCAACACCACAGAGATGCACGAGAAGCAACAAGACGAGGAAGACGAGGAGAACGATTCAATCAAGACGAAGCAGAGTGAGGAAGCGGAAAAGTCAGCAGGAAGTGAACAAAATTAAATAGTACTACTAGTCCCACGGGGACTCAAAACTCAATTCTGAAAAAACTCATTATAGTCCCAACGAGACTCAAAATTCAATTCAAAGCAAGAGAGGGGAATGTCATCCGGCCGGATTGACATCAACCAGTTGTTTTATATATTTCTATGCTTATATATCTACATTATCTATATTATCTACCGACCTTGAACAACACGGCCAGACCGAAACCATAGAGCATAGAACGCTCAGAGCAAAGACTAACAGATTATCTTTCAGCTGCTTTTTCATTCTTTTCTAAGTTACCAAGCTAGTTTGCCAAACCCTGTGGGCTCTTTTTTCATTCATACGTAGCGGTATGACATATTCTATGCAACACGTCTGTTGATTTTTACTAACTTGTTTGTGCTGCCTTTTTACTTACTTGCTGGGTCAATTACGACCGGTATGACCTTGTATTGTAATTTAGTTTCAACTACTTTCGCTTTGGCAGCATAGTTTTGCTGGCTTTCATGAAAACTGATTAAGCTCGAGGCTTCGCCTTCACTCGAGCACAGTATCCTTCCTTGCATACATATAAGTCAAAAAATCAATTCTAAAGAGTCGGAAGCCTCTGCTAAATTGCATATTTGTTAAGGTTTAATTTGCGAAGATTTGACAATTTCACGTCAAATCACAATCGCTGTTCATTTAGAGTAGTGTATGTCAACTTTGTTTTCAGGTGAAAGCAGTTCCACCCTGGTAAGTTTTTCAAATTTCCTAAGATGGCCTAAAAAGTCACTGATGTGTCCGAGACTGTATCTTCTTGTCTTTTCACATGACTGCCATCTATCATGAGTTTTCCCAAGTTCTACTTCAAGGTTGTTCTCAGATTCGACTGCCCCTCTCTCTGTAAACTGACCCTCATAAACATTTAAAAAAACTGTTTTTTCAATTTTTATTTTTTCTGTGCTGTTGTTTGCTAAATTACTTCGCGTCTTTTGTGTGTCTCATCCCATTTTTTATCCACTGGGGGACAACGCTTACTTTCATGAAATTTTTCATGTTGGAAAATTCGGAATTGCCAGCATTGAAAAAAACCTGCCCATTTAGACTGTTTTTCTGAAAGTATATAATATAACTGTAATTCGCTTCAATTTTTTTCTGCAATTTTATTTCAGAGGTTTTCCAAAAATGTCTTTTTGGTGTTCTCTTGAGTGAATTCAAGGATTTGTGAAAAAATATCCAATGAATCACTCGAAAACGAATTTAAGATTTTTATGTAACGTAGTTTTCTGGTCATGAGCGTATATTTATGTACAGAAAGGTTATCTATATACCACCATATATGTTTTAATTCTTTACATCACCGTATGTGTTCTAACGAAAGCACGAGAAAATATGTTCTGTTCATATAATTTGTCTGAATCTTTTTGCTAAAAATAAACAAGAACAATCCTTCAGAAATTATTAAGCAGACTAGACACAAAACTCATGCTTAGCGTCAGTTCGGATTCGGTGTTGGGCTAAATTGAACACCGACCGTGTGAACAATCATGAAGAGAATTAAGTGTGTGCTGGTTGGAGATGGAACAGTAGGAAAAACATGTTTGCTGCTCCGGCTGACCGAAGACAAGTTTGCCTACGATTATTTGCCCACTGTTTTCGACACGCGCAACTACCATTTGACGATTGAGGGAGAAACCTACAGCCTGGGTATGTTTTCGCAAAAGATTCTGATTTCATTTATCTAGGGAATTAAACTCGAAAACAAAGGTTATCCTTATTTTTTCTAAAAATGTCTTTTACACAATAATGGCCATCTTTTTAATTTAAGAAACTTAATTGCTTAGGCCTTCTTATTTCTAGTTTGACATCTTTCTTATATAATCCATAGCTTCTTTCATGGCCTTCACCCTGAGAATTTGTCAACCACAATTGGATTGTTCTTTGCTGTGATGACATACATTGAGGTCACTTTTGCCCTCACACATCTGGATGGCTCCTGCTTTCCCTTCATTTTCCTTATCGCAACGTTCAGATTTTTGATTATAGACTCTCAGGGTTAATTTTAGAGAATTAAAATTAAGTTTTTGAGCCAAGGGCTTTTTGGTCAAGATTAGTAAAATTTGCTTCGCCTCGCGATCACGGTGTACCTCGAATGAGGAAGTTTACATTGGAGTGCTTACTCAAAAACATGGGGCTGCATGCGCTCTCTCGTCAATTACCTCTAAGGACGTGTTTTTTTCTTTTTCAAGCATCTTAGAACGTAGTTTTTATGCTTCTGCAATCGTTCTCTCGACGCAACCTGTCGCTATGTGGGTGTATGCGAAGAATTGATGGTTTCAACCCTTGTTTCATTACTGCAAACGCCTTGATGACCTTAGAAAATAGTTTTTTCTGATTCATTCGACTTTGTGAAGGACTCGGTCATGGTTAGCATGTTATTAAGTTAAAATAATTGAGAATCATTTTAATTTTGCAAGGGCAACTATTGAGGTATGCGACCAATTGGGTCCAGGTTACGATTGTTCTTGGTTTGAATGTTTTTTTTTCGGGCTATAGCTGTGATTAATTGGTCGACTGATGAAAACTCCATCTAAGTGGCTGCTAAGCATGTGAATTTAAGCTCAGATTAGCTGTTGAGTCTCGAAAGTGGTCAACCCAGTCAAAAGATCAACGATCATTTAAATTTCAATTTTGAGCTCAATCCAACCCATTTAAACCCTAATCTACACTGATAAAGAACAATTTCTTCTTTAAATATTTTTAATATTTCTTACCTTCCAACCAATTTTTAAACGCTTTTTAAGTGTTACTTTTTAGACGAAGTTGCTCATATGTTTAAAATAAAGTTTGATCTACCTCACGGGTTGACCTCTATAGACAGAAAATGCTAATCGTACAACTCCATATACTATTCTATGAAAAAGTACGACTCATACAAATTTCATACATTTTGTTAAAATGGTGTCATCGAATTTTCAAAACAGATTTTTCTTGTTTTGGCATAAAAATTAGTGTGTCGTACTAAATAAAAAAATTTATGTCAACAAATGTTAATCATAAAAATTCTATATATAAAAATTGTATGACTAGCATTTTTTATGGCGACAACAAAAATTTTGACAAGTTATTTTGAAATCGACCAAAAAAACTTTTTGTTTTTTTAGCCGCAAAACAAATTTTGTAGTCAAACAAACATTCTCCAAAAAAAACGTTCGCATGCAAAATTTAATTTTTTGTGTGCACAATGTAGTCCAGGACTCTTTTTCGTATAGAAACGCTTCAAGCTCATTACTTTCGGATGGCATCTTTATGAATGCCTTGATTAATGTCTGATTAACCAAAAACTTATATTTTGAAAATTATCTGTAAACAATTAAGCCAAAATTCAAAAGTTTAATTCTTTCAGTATAGTATTTGTGTAAGTCAACTCTTAGACAATTCAGGTCGTTTTTTAAGCCTTGTAAATGCAAGACGGTCGAAACATTGTTGACGAAACGTAGTTTTAAGTAAACCACGATTTGTGTCACTTGTGTTCGGCTACGATCGCATCATAAAAACCTTGAGAAGTTAAATTTTAAAGAAAACATTTTTTTTTGGTTCCTGGAAAATTGCTAGTCATACAATTTCCATATATGAAAATCACTAATCATAGAACTTTCATGCAATTTTCTGTACATGGATTTGCATGAAACATATATGATTACCATTTTTCCATATATGAAAATTGTATGTGTAGCATTTATGATCAACCCGCGCTAACAATTGCCCCCATCCTATAGTGTCTCTTAAAGAATTGTCACCCCTATGAAAATAAGAAGCAGTAAACAGCACTAGAGTCTTTTATTTATCAATCGCGCTTTGCTGCATTCTGATTGGTCGAAAATACTACAAGCTTAATCTTCTCAAAAGTTACTCCATTTTCTTGAAATAAAGGTAACTGTTAAATAGATCCAGAAATCTCATTATTAAAATGGAGCTAATCGAGGTTTTTAGTCAACTGCTTCCTTTAAAAAAAGCTTACATCCAATACGAGGCCAAACTGTGTATTTTGTTAACTGTAAGCAGGTTCCGCAAAAAGACCGCTCTCGGCGCTCTCTGTCTCTAATTTGTTTTGGGTGTTGTGTTTTGTTTGAAAAATTTTTAAAAAGTGCCCAAAAAACGCCTATTTTTAACCTTTTTTCCGAAAATTTGCCTGCGGCGCAGACAATTTGGTAAAATTATGGTCTTTATAGTGGTTTGCGAGAGCTCAGAAAATCAGTTTGGTTGAGCTAAAAAGAAGACAAAATTTTCAAAAGTGTTTTGAAAATCCGCCCCCCCCTCTCGAGAAAATCCTAGATCCGCCCCTGATGACAAGCAATCTTCCATAGAGACAATTTTGGAATTCTATGATAAGCGTTTTTTGTAATGAAAAGCAAACTTGACTTGACCGCTTAGAATTATGGGACACGGCTGGGCAAGAGGACTACGACACACTGCGACCCCTATCCTACCCTAACACAGATGTATTCATCCTCTGCTTCAGTGTCACTAGCGTGTCCTCATGCAAGAACATATACAGCAAATGGATGCCCGAATTAAAAAGTTTCTACCCCCAGTGTCCAAATGAGTGTCCGGTGGTACTAGCCGCACTCAAGGTAAGACTGGGCATCATCATCATCATCATTTTTCAATTCACACTTTTCTTTCATCAGTTTTTAGTTATAATCAATTTTATTCTTTAGCTACATGCCCTTTAATTAGACACACTTCTTATAGTTACACACCCTTCACAGAAATTTTCGTTTATTTCATCTTGACTTTTTTGCTGTTGAGTATAAAAGTTTATCAGTAACCTCTCTTCAATCCGTAGGATTGCTTTATTTAACATACATTTGAATGCTAGGTTGCAGTTGACATCCTTGTTTGTTAGTATTCATAAAAGACTCCAACTAGTTAAAATGTTAAAATATCAGAACTATTTTTCTTCTTCCCCGTTTCTCACCTGGGCTTGTTAAACAAAATTACACAGAACAATTTCGAGTTTTGATTGGGACGCGTGTGAGGTTTTTTTGTCACTGGACTCCACTGTTTATCAATGGATTCTGCGGCCAGTTTTTCCTTCTGTCACTGGATTCCACAAACACAATTTTAACTGTTTCAACATGTATCGTACGCATTTTTTCATCACCTTGATTATATATATAATAAAAAAACATATCCCCTAGAACTTTGAAAATTGCCTTTCAATTTAGAAAAAAAAGACAAATTATATAAGTCCAAATGAGACAATTTAAACATCTCAATTTTCACAAAAAGAGAACTAAGATCCCCCTCCTATCAACCACATTTTTCGCTAATGAGGGAAGTTCGAAGTTCATTCCTGGTTAACCACCCCCATTGAAGACAATTGTCTTAATTGCTGAAAGAAAACGCACCCCCCTCCAGCCGCACCCCCCGCAATTAGGACAATTTTCTTAAAAGCTGAGGGGGAGGGGTAAACTGAAGTAATAGTAAGATGGTTAGTTGAAAGATAGTTGCAATGGAAAACATGACTTAGGGAAAATTGAGAGGTATACTGTCTCACTTTCTGAGACACATGTTTTTGTCACGTAAGCTGAAAAAGATGTTCGCTGGCGGAAACGTTCACCAAATCTATAAAAAATCAGGCAACGAAAAAATGGGTCCCACAGCGGAATCTATTGATAAATTGTGGAATCCAGTGACAAAAAGAATAAATTGGTTGCGAAAGCCACTGACTAAGAGTGGAATCCAGTGACATTTCGCTTCAATCCACTCAAAATGTAAAAATGCATTTGTCTCATTTGTCTGCGGATCCCAAAACAAACCACGTCTTAGCATTTGTCTCCAAATTCCGCATTGTAACTGGATTCCAAATTTTCAGTTTTATCAAATAGTTTTTAAAAACTTTTGTTCGATTCTATCAGGTTTCCGTCTTCAAAGGCTTTTCGCAATGTTGCGGAATCCAACGCAAATTATGCGGATTGCAGGGACAATAAGTGCGGAATCCAAACCACTACCAGAGCACCCGAGCTTGGCATCGAATTGGTTGCTTGGCGGGAAAATACAACTTTAGTTTAGCCCCCAAAATGCATAATACAAGTTTGAACTATAGTTGCATATAAAACAAGTTTGAACTATAGTTGCATACAAGGAACGTAGCCGAGCGTATACACAGTGCGTCGGGGCGGGTTCCACTCAGATCCGAATCCCGAGTAAATCCTTTCCTTTCTAAGACTCAAACAAACGTCGAACTTGACGAGACATAAATACACGCTCATCCCAAAAAACTTTTTCTGCTTTGCTTTGTTTAATAAAAAAGACCTTGACCGACCTTGATTGACAGGTTTTCGTCTTTAAAAACCGTGTTTTGCTGCCAAAGCGTGAACGCACTCACTCGCTTAAAATCGGTGCAGTTTCAAATCGTCTGATTAACGAAATTTTTTATGTGTTTTGAGCCGACTAAATGAAGAATAAAATCTTTTTATTCCAAATTAATTTTTGGTCAGCTTTTTATCCAGCATATCTTGGTGGTGCGACCCGGGAGCTAAAAGAGTCGGGAACTCAGGAAAAAGCAGATCATGTGAACTTCTTTAAAACAGAGGGATATTCTAAAAAACAGAGCAATCAGGCGAAAGCGGCCCGGGTCGAGATCCCGCTCAAAAACCGCTCAAGATATGAGCGGTTTGAGCGGTTTTTCAGCAAGATTTGAGCGGTTTGGGCGGTTTTTTTGGAAAAACCGCTCAAACAGCTCAAATCTTGCTTAAAAAACCGCTCATTTCTTGCGGTGATTTTTGAACGGTTTTTCAAGCAAGATTTGAGCGGTTTTTGAGCGGTTTTTGAGCGGTCTTATAAAGAAAACCGAATAAAACCAACAAAAAGGCCTGGAAAGGTAATTTGTTCCCGGGTTGACATCCATAAACCGAAAATGCTTATTTTAAATTTCCCCACACCGAAAAAGCTTATCATACAATTGCCTGCATCAAATGTATGGAAAAATGCTAATCATACAGTTTTCATACAATTTCAAAAAACCATTGAAAAAAGATTCAATCTAATTTCTCCGGCTATTTGAACCAAATACAACAGTCTGTTGATGAAAAATAACTACGTTTATTTTTTTTTTGAAAAAAAAAATGGTTAGCATATAATTTCCATATATGAAAATTGTATGATAACCATTTTTTCATGAAAGGCAAGATTTTCAGAAATTGTTCAAACTTGTTTGTAAACAAATTTAAATTATTTAAGAAATGATTTGAGCGGTTTTTGAGCGTTTTTTTTTAGATAAACCGCTCAAAACCGTTCAAATCTTGCGCGGTTTTTGAGCGGTTTTTTTAGATAAACCGTTCAAAAACCGCTCAAACCGCTCATTTGAAGCAAGATTTTGGGCGTAATTGTCTAAAAAAACCAATCAAACCGCTCAAATCTTGCTTCAAATTAGGTGAAAAATCTCGACTCGGGGGGAGACGAAAGCAGTTGCGTTGTCCGAAAAAAATAAGTTGAGGACCTTGGCGAAAGCAGTTGGCGAAGGCAGTTAGCGATCTTGGAAGCCAAGGCGTCCACGGTAGCAGGACAGTGTCTCGCTGATTACCCTGTGTAGCCGTACGAAAGCCAGACAAGGCAGGTCGCTGGCTTCAACTATGGCGAAACGGAGGCCTTTGAAGGGGTATCTTGTTCTGGGCAAACGGAATCCTTTTGTTGAAAGGGGAATCCCGTTTTGGACAAACAGAGGCCTTTCTAAATGGGTATCGAGAGAAAGTGCTGAAAGACAGAAGGTGATGACGGAAAGTCTGCTGAACTCAGAAGGTGCTGACAGACATTCCCCTGAGGAAGTGGTCAGTTAAGGTTGAGAAAATCCAAAAAAACTTAAGAAATATCCAACTCCTATTTTGCTCGAGAAGACTGCCAAAGGTCTAATTTGTTTCTTTCTTTTCATCCGTTGTGCTAATTTCAATTTGAAGCTCTGCAGCAATTATGTTGCTAATTGTTAATGATTGCATGGCAAAACACGTTTGCAGGTAAAAAAAGACATTTTTTGGTAAGTTCTTGTCATCAAATAGTAGGTTTGGTTGTTTTTCAAAATTTGGGCCAGAATTTTGGACCCACTTTGTTCGAACCTGTTAAACCTTCCGCCATCAAAAAGCTCCAAAAACCGAAAAAATCTATTATATTTCCGTCTAAAAAACATCAGTCTAGTATATAATAATTCAAAAATCCCAGTCGTATTAATTAGTCCTAGTTCAGGTGACCTCAAGTTTACTCCGAGTGGTTGAAAGGACTTTGATTTATTTTATACGAACCCCCTTAATCTACATGAAACCTTTCGTAAGTCGACAAATCCGCCGCGTCCGTTTTTTTTATACAAAACAATTAATGGTTTTTACTATCGGTGCAAGCTCGTTGCATCACGCTCTAGAACAGCTACACGCTTCACCTTGTTATCAATTTGTTGATACTGACTTAGCAGTACTTGGTCTAAGTTTTAAATCGAACGCCGTTAAACCCCGTAAAACTAAAAAACACTGTTTTGAGTCATTTTTATGTCATCACTCGATTATCGTGATTTGGCGCGACGTCAGAAATAACTCAGTAGGTAGGAATAATTAGTAGCAATGAACTCAACCCTTTGTCCGAAGACAAGCTTGTTGCCATCCTAAAACGCTATCGAGCGAAAATTAGTGCCATCGTTTATTGTCAACGCACCGGAAATGAAGAAGTTTTTGAGAAATTAAACAGTTCAAATTTTCTGGCAATCGGTATATTCGATCAATTGATATCGAAACGTAAAGGTAAGGACAAGCGCTTGCGCAAAAAAGTTGACATTACACCAGCCCGATGAATTAGAGATCAAAATTTTTCGGATCGTTTGCAGATACGCGAAAAACTCAGAACACTCTAACACTAAGAGGAAAAATAGTTGAACAAGAAGTAATGTCAGCTCTTTAAGCACAGCACTCTCATCTTAGTCCTTTTGCAGGAGCAACTAGCCGAGGTATACAGGTCTTTAGCTCAGAAGCTTTGCCCTGTACTGGCGGTATAATTTGTTGCTTTAATGTTACTGTGCTTATAATTCGTTTTGTTAAATTTTTGTAATGAATTTAGGTTTGATATGTCACCGATTTATTTTTAAAAGCACATCGTAACATTTTGTCACAAGGATTCAAGAATTAGGCCGGAAAGTACAAAACCTTCTTGAGTCTCGGCGTATTTTGGAAATTGAGCTCCTCAATGTTCGAAAATACATTCAAAAAGCCATAGAGAACAAAAAACAACAAATGATGGCTAAGAACTACATCAAGAACGCAAATGTTTTCCTAGAAAAGGCTTTTTCAATAAAGATGATATTTCAAGTCTTTCAAGTCAAATGGCGGAAAAGGTTTTTAATAAAGATAAGATTTGTGAGGAATTGGAACAGTGGCCCGACTTGGTGACGAAAAGACAAGTTGATGTAATTCAGAAAGCTAGGAGCTATGTACGATCTGAAGAACAAGTAAGGTCCGTTTACTGGGTATCAAGCAAAGCTTGGAAGAAGTACAAATCCGCGAGGAGAATTAGAAAAATTATGTTAAAGCCAAAATAGCCGAATTTGATTTGGAGTAAGACTCCGACTTTGTTCACTTGTTTGCTAGCTCGG